CTGGGGTTTGGAAGGGAGAGTGAAAGAGAGAGAAGGGAGATTCAATCATGGGTTAAGAACGAGAAACCCAACTATCCCCTGTACCAGTGCCCTCACCCCTGGCTTGCCAGCCGAGCCTCCCAGAGGGCTGCCAGCAGCCCAGGCCCGGCAGTCCCTCTGCCTCGGGGAGAGGAACATCCTGATACCTGGGGCTTTCTCTCTTGGACAACTCTGGCCATGAAGGGCCCAGTGCCCCGAGGACAATGTTCTGGTCTCATAGCCAAACTGATGCTTCCTCAAGGACCCAAACCACACTGCTGGGGAAGGAGCAGCCACCAGGCAAGCTGCCAAGGTCAGCACTGGAGGATAAGTAACTAACGTATAGCCTGGAGCACGCGGCCACGGCCACCCTGCTCAGAAACGTCTCTCCATCCAGGCCGGGGGCAGGAGAGAGGCACAGTGCGGCTGCCTGCAAGACACCATGGGTGAGGCCGCAGGGACACATCCGCAAGCGGAGTGACAGGAGGCTGCACACCCTGCAGGCCTGCTCAGTGCAGAAGGCACAGTGGAGGCTGCTAGGAGCGTCGCCGGGCAGTAAAGAGGGCAGGGGCAGCCTGGACACCCCGGCTCAGCCAGCAGGACTGGCTCTTCACCATCCATGTCTGCCCCCACTTACTTTGGTTCGCTCCTTTTTGGCCTTTTCCAGTTTGTCCATCTCGATCTTCTGGGCCTTGGCTATGGAGACAAGACAAGCTGTCACACAAGCAGCCTGCAAGCAGCTTTCGGCCCAGAGCCTGGCCCACTCACTGCCCTGACCGCTGCATTCAAGGGACGACAGGCCCTCAGGGCTCAGTGTCCTACTGTGCGGGTGAGAGCGAAGAGCTGGCCTTGCTGGGCATAAAGCAGGGGCCCTGAACCCAGGGTTGGGAGGCACGGCCTGTATATTCTGTGCCTGGGTCAGCTACTCTGAGTCCCAGCCAACAGCTGCCACCTGGGATGCAGGCTCAGTGCAGGCCATTTTCCTACTGGCCAAGAGAACTGGGAATACGGGCTTGTAAGTAAAATGCTGGCATTCAGTAATTCAGATGGCCCCTACACCTCTCCGATTCTCTGGTGGATCCCTGATACCTCAGCACGGCCCAGCCCTCTGGCCGGGTTAGGGGGCTCTGCTTGCTAAGCCGCCCCTCTACCCAGCAGTCCCATCATGCTAATACTCGCCAGGGCTGGGACTCCTGGATCTACTGCCTAGATTCTTTGTTCTGGCGTAAGCCTTGGACACTGGGGATGAGGTCTGCCTCACTGAAGGCTGTGCACAGCCCCCCGACAACACCCGAGCAAGGCAGCCTTGGGACATGTGGGCAGCCAACTACGGCGAGGGGTAGAGGGTGGAAGGCTACCTAATGCCTCATAGTAGGAGTCCTCAGACCAGCCATGGGGGTCAAACATATCCTGAAAAACAAAAGGTTAAGGCTGCAGTCAGTTGGGACCATCAGATGACAACTGACTTAGAAACCCAAGTCTCCTGCCCTGAGTCTCCATGGACTTCTCCCACTCCCTTAAAGGCAGAAGGGGCTCATCTGCGCTAGCCCCCAGCTGAGGCGCGGTGCGCAGGCTCCTGAGGACCTGGGAGTACTGAAGCACCTGTGCAGCAACAGCACAGACTGGCCTGGGGGCAGTGTGTCCTCATGGGGCCCCATCCCAGGGCCTGGGGGCCTGTTCTGTTGCTGCGATCTCTTTACTGGGCCATTTCAGAACAGGGACTCAAAAGAGAAGGGGATGTGCTCTTTAACCAGCAGTGCTGCCACTCAGACCTTCCTGTGGCCCAGGTCAGACGGAGCGGGTGAACACAGGATCCCGTGTGCCCTGCCCCCTGTCCCCAGCGCCCCATCTGCAGGACACACCTTTGGGTAGTTGGTGCCAAGCTCATCGATGGCACAGAACTGGATCAGCTTCTCGTAGATGCTGAAAAGGAACAGCACGGTCACTGGGCAGGTGCTCACCGACGTCCCTACATGCCAACAGATCCCGAGAGTACCAGAACCACCCAGATGCTGTGGCTGAGACAAAGCTGTTAACACCTTTAAACCAGCGCACCTATTCGGAGAAGTCTCCCACTGGGCCTCCCACTGGGCCTCCACCCTCCCGGTGAGTCGGACAGTTGGCTGGAGGCTGGACGAGCACATGGTGGAAGTGATGGCAGCACCTGTCTTAAACAGATGTCTCTGACCTTTGGTCTGCACGGCTGGATTGAACCCACCACATTCAGGCTAACACGAGGACCAGGGTAGATCCCTGTTGTCATGTACCATGCTCTTTCCTGGGTGTGTCACTAGCTTGAGCATTAGATGGAGTAAAAACCCAGACTGCCCTGTTTCTGAAACCTCGTCTGTATACAAAATCAACTTTTCAGAGTGGGAAGAACCTACAGTGGTTGTCTATCCCAACTCCCACATCACACAGATGAAGAAACTGAGGCCTTTAAGAGCAGAATAGGGACAAAAACCCAGCCGGCCTCTCGACTTCCTCTCCATATTGGTGTGTATGTTTAGTCTGGATCTGAAATGGGAACCCTGGGTTAGCCAGAGGCATGGTGGTTAAGGTGGCTGGATCCAACGTGGCTGACTGTGCAGTTTGAGTCCCCGTTTGAGACCCGGAGGCTTGAAAAACACAGGAGTCTAACAGAATGGAGAAGAAGTTGCAGCACGGTTATCTCCCCTGCGGAGTGCTTTCTCACTTTCTCTCTCAGACAAGTATATGTGCTTCACAGCAAATATTAAAAACAAATAAAATAAATAAAAATGGAATGGTAACCTCTAGCTGGGTTAACAAGGCCGGCTGCGTCCAGCAAGAATGTGGCGTAACGACACGTGTGGGTGACAGCCCCATGGGGCTCCTGGACCTCTCTGTGTTACCTCCACTAGGACACTCTGGTCCTCTACCCAACATTAATGACTGTGCTGACCCTGCAGGCGTACAGGAAGCTCACCTGGGATTCCGAAACTCCTTCTTCCTTTGGATAATGTAATTCATATCCATTCCCTCCTTTATCTTACGCTCATAAAGCTTCTGGATCTTGTCCTACAGAAGAGGGAGAGAGGGTGTCGTGTGGCAGAACCTGCCTACTCGTAATTCCAGTTGGTGGTCACGAGGGCTGTGGAGCAAAAACCTGAGACCAGCAGACCTTGCCAGGCCCAGCTCCAGCCACACGGGCTTTCCCTGCAGACTACAAGCAGAGAGGCGCAGCAGGGTGAGCCGAGAGCAGCGGTGTTTGCAGCTCATCTTTCCTGCCTCCCTGGGGTGACTAGTTCAGTAAGAAGCAAAAAGGTCAGGGCAGAGACGGCATGGCAGACAATGAGCGAGTCCCTCTCTGATCAATCAGTTCCCGAATCAGCTGGAGCAGGGGTTAAGGAATGAGAGCTGCCATGCAGGGACTGAAAGCTGGCTTTAAACAGTAACACGCAGCTAAGCCCTCAGCACCCCGCGTCCCAGAGACCTGGGAGGGCTGTGTTCTTCTGGAGGAAGGCTAGAGTACAGATTTTTGGATTTGGTCTCACAAACCTCCTAGGATGCCTTTTTATGGGGACTCACAGATGGCTGGTCACCATTAAGGGTCAGGCACTCACTTATCACCAAAACCCACAAGTTCCTGTCCTGGCTTATGATGGGAACAGGAGAACCACATGGGAGAGACTAGGCTCACAGTGTCTTCAGGGAGAGGGTCCTGCCTGGCCCATGGGACGATAGTTGGTACCAGTGAGGAGGCCCAAGGAGCTGAGCTTCAGGTCAAAGCCACCCCGAGAAGAGCAGTCTTACCCAGCAAGGCGGGTACCAACCCAATTCAAGTTTCTCACCCTCCCAAGTGGCAGTTAAATACATGGGTTATCCAGAGAAAAACATCTGGACACTCTTCACCTGCAAGAGGAGGTGGCAGGGCTGGAGGTCCCATATGAAGCCTTTTAGGAACTGCCAGGAGAGGTAGTCTACTCTCTAGGACAGAGGGCCGTATCTTTCTGCCAAGATTGGCCAGAGGAAGCGATGGATGGCAGAGAGAAGTTTGTATGCAGTTAACTGCCAGGGAAGACAGATGCCAGGAGTGACAAACTGCTGCCTCAACATTATCCCTGCCAGGGTAATGGAGGAGGCCTTATTTCGGAGGCTCGGCAGCATGAGATGAACCTGTACCTTACAGGTGATTGGCATGTCTACTGTGCCATGAGATTGGTCCTATCACCTCAAGTGAGCTATGTCTGCTCAAATGTCCTGGCCTCTACCACCAGGAGGACCTACAGAAGGAGCAGGGACACTTTGCACTTGCAGACTGAGAGGCTGGTTGTCTGCCTGGCAGGTCGCTGGAGCCATCCTTACAGGCTAGTGCTTGCTGTCTGGCATGGAGAGTGATGCAGTCCTGGGGGTATGGAGGCGGACAACTCAGCAAAGGGAGGAGACTTCCGTGAAAGGAAGGGAGTCCATGCCACGCCCCCAGCCTGATGCATTCCTCGGCCTCAGGTCCCATTAGTCATCCAGCCGCCAGGGTGGTGCCATGGGTCGCCATGTGGCCAACAGAGCCCAGAAGCTTTGGGACCACAGGTAGAGCAAGTGACCTGGCTGCCACCACTGGGAAGCCTTGGTGCCCTACTGTGAGTCACAAGGTCCCATTCATGGGGGACCCACAGAGGGACCAAGAGAAAGACAGAGGCTGAAGAGGAGATGGAAACCAGCTGTCCCCAAGGGTCTGCTCCCAGGGGAGGAAATGCAGTAACCACTCTGACTCCTTGGGATCTCAAAATCTCAGGTCAGGTCTGTGTAAGGTTTAGTCAGGCAAGAGGCTACCGGAGTTGGCATTTAGGAACCCACGGAAAGGAATTTTATACATATAAATGCTTGTGTTTGTGTTGCAAAGGCATGTTATCTTATCTCCTAGGTGTGGGACCTCAGTGAGGGCAAGTGAGGGGACCAGCTGGCTCAGGGGCCATGGCATGTATGGCAGTGGGTACACAAGCCAACCCGAGATTACGCCAACAGGAGGCAAACGGAACTGCTGGCTCCTTCCTACCCAGCAGTTCCTTTGACAGAACCTCGGTGCCTCTCCCTGCCATGACCTCTCCAGGTCAAAACCGAACCTAAGACCTACCCCAGGCCGCCCAGTCTACCAGGCCTTGCACCACAGCCAGGCCTCGTGCTTACCTGTAAGTGATTTGAGCACCTTCCAGGGGGCTCTGGTGGGATCTTGATTTCATCAGGTGACATGTTCCGAACTCTTTCAGAAAAAGAAGCTGTTAAAGAGAATAGAGAGAAAAATTCTATAGGTAGGGGTTGTGACCGGGGACACAATGAAAAAACAAGCACATAAAAAGTTTTTGGGGAGCAATAGGTGCTACGAAAACAGTATGACCAGGTGTTCAGGTGTGGCCTCTCTGAGGGGTCACCTGAGGTGAGAACAAGCCACCAGAAGGAGCCAGCCAGGCAGAGGGTACAAACGTAAGGACTGCACACTAGCAAGTCACAGTGGGTAACTTTCAAGGAAAGAGCGTGTCCAGCGATGGGCAGGTCAATGCTTAATGACGAGCT